TTCTCTCTTTTTTGTTATAAGGTACTTGCATTCACCAGAGAGAGACAGACTGAAGAGAGAGAGGAAAAGTGAGCAATTCCCCCCACCATTCCCTTCTTCATTCTCTTCTCGGGATTTTGGCTTGCACATGTGTCCAGCATGTTTTTCAAGCCACCGGGTCTGGGACTCCAACTTCACACTTGGTCATGTGGGATTCAGCCACTTTAACTACCATGCCACCTGGTACCTTATACAAGGGGTCTTCATGGAAAATGTGTATTAAGAAAAAACCATGCATGGATTTAAAAACTATTTTGGGGGACCAACAGATGGCATAATGGTAACGTTGCTGGCATCCACATTGTGGTTTGAATCCTGGACCTGGTAGTTTGAAACTCACACTGGACATGTGTGCATGAGTGCCCAAAATCCCAAGAGGAAAATGGAGAAGGGATTACAGCGTGGCCATCCACCCTGGGGTGATTTATTGCTTTCTGTCTCTCCAGTGAACACAAATGCCCTGTAGATTTAAGAGAAGAAATACCCATGTGTCCTGTCTTAAACAGAATGGCACTGTAAAGAATGTAGGATCACACTGTGGCATCTGCTGAGTACCCACTGTGTGCCACACTGTGTAGCGGTGAGCAGGATACACAGCCCATGCCTCCACAGAGCCTGCTTTCTTTGGCTTCCCCTCACACCCAGAGAAATGTCTGCATGACCTGGGTGAGTTCTGCTTGCATGACAGCTAGTGAGGAACTGTGGACGCTGGCCTCCTGGATGGGACTGTGCTGAGTCAGTGGGGCACAGAGGTCTGCCTGGTCCTGGTGTGTTGGCGTTGGGGCAGGCCTGGGGACAGTGGCTGAATGGCCATCTGCAGGCCTGCGGGAGGCAGAAAGATGCTCCTTGGCTGGACAGGGGCCCTGGATGGAGTGAGTGTGGGAGGAGTGGGTGGTGAGGAGGATTTGATGGGGAAGCATGGGAATGAGGACTCTTGTTATTGGAGACACTGGAAGCCAGGATCGGGGCCTCCGGCCTCACTCATTGGCTCTGATCTTTGGGTTGCTGCTCCTTATGTTCAGTCTTGGAAACAGCTCAGGGTGGGACAGGAGGTAGCTTGTATGGGATGTGAGCCGAGGTCGCCCTACAGAGCCTGGAGTCCTTGCTAATTGGACCCCGAGCACCCGTAAACTCAAGATAATGGCCATGGGGGCCTTGGGCCTCGTGCCAGGCCATCTACATTCTTCATCAGGGAAGGCGGAGGTCACTGGAAAAACCAGTTAGGGTGTGTGAGGCTCGTTTTATGTTGGTGTCAAGGGAGTGTTGGGCTCTTGGTTCAGGAGCCTGAAAATGTATCTTAAAAATCTGACTTTTTCAGAAAGTTAGATGTGTTGATTAGATCAGCCAGCAAGAGGTTTTTATGAGTCACGTCTTCAGAACGAGCAGGTGGCTGGCCAAGAGTCTGGAGTTCCAGCCTCTTCCCTCTCATGAGGAAGGTACCCAGAACACCACCCTGGGCAGCGCTGGGGCTGGCGTGTATAAGAGGGCTTCGGCTCTTCTGTCACAGGTCACTTCGCTACGGCTGAGCAGGCATTGCCGTGCCGGGCCAGCATGCACTCAGGCCTTGTGAGAGCGGTTGTGAGTGAGCTGCGAGAGACTCACCTCTGTGACCTCGGATTCTAGGGTTCACATAGTGTCTGGCATATATGTCATTGTTACTGAGCAAATGTTCAGAATGAGTGATTTGATTTCGTCGTCTTTGCCCATTCCGTTATTCACTGGTAAGGGGTGGGGTGTGCATTTCCTGTAGCTGCTGTAACAGATACTACAAATGCCTTGACTTAAAACTTAAAATGAGGGCTAGCTGGTGGTGTGGCATGGTGATTTAGACGGCTGGATTAAACGAGGCCAGCTGCACATTTTGAGTCCTAGACCTGGTGCCTTCAAAAACATATCAGATGTGTGTGCATGTGTATGATAGCCAAAATTCAAAAGGATGGAGAGATTAAGGAGAGAGGATTGCGGCATGGCCATCCCCTCTTGGGGGTGGGGTGGGGAGGTGCTTTCTCACTTTCTAGGCCTCTCTCTGACAAACACACATGCCCTGTAGCAAAACTTAAAAGATAAGTCAATAAAACCTCCTAAAATTATATATTGGGTTGTCAGAAGTCATGATACATTTCTACATAGAAAAACAGAAAAAAAATACTCCATGACTTTTCTGACAATCCAATATTTATATACACATGTACAAATACGTGTGTGTGTGTGTGTGTATACACACACATATGAATGTTAAAAGCAGGCAAACAACAAACTGGGAACGGCAAACCCAGTGACTAAAAGCCGCTATACAGCTAAAATATCAACTGATTAGAGAAATACTAAGTACTGGTGGATGGTGGTCCCCAAAAATATATGTCACATCCTAATCCCTGGAACCTGACAGGCTATTCCCACAGTTCTGGAGGCCAGAATTTGAAGTTCACTGGGGCTGTCCTCCCTCTCTGGGACCTAAAGGAGACCCTGTTTGTCTCTTCTGGCTTCTGGTGGCTGCAGGCATCCTCTGTCTTGTGACCACACTGCTCTAGTCTCTGTCCCTGTAGTCCTGTGACCTCCTCTCCCTTCTGCCTCCGTGTGTCTCTAGTAAGGACACTTGTTTTTTTTTTTTTGGAGAGGTTTTTGCTATAGGGCACATGTGCCCGCCAGACAGAGAGCGAGAGAGAGACAGAGAGACAGAAAGCGAGAAATCACCCCCCAGAGGGGATGGTCACACCACAATCCCTTCTCCTCCACTGTCCTCTCAGGATCTTGGGCACGCAGGCACACGCGCCCAGCGTGAGTTTTAAGCCACTGGGTCCGGGATGCGAACCACAGTCGACTACGTGGGAGTCCAGTGCCATAGCCATTACGTTAACTGCTGGTTCCCTAGTAAGGACACTTGTAATTGGATATAGGACCCACCAGGATAATAGATTATTTCATCTCAGAATGGCGAACCTTAATGACATCTGCTAAGGCTGTGTTTCCAAATGCAAGGTCACATTCACAGGTTTCTGTGGCCTAGTGGTTAAGGGAGCTGGATCCCCCTATGGCTGACCATGGTTCAAGTCCGGGCCTAGGAACCTTGAAAACATGCTGGACACATGCGCACTCATACCCCAAATACTGACATGATGGAGCCACAGAGAAGGGACTGTGGAATGATCACACCCCATCATGAGGGTGCTTTCTCTCTCTCTCTGTTTTTCTCTCTCTCCCCGGCTAGTGCACACGCCTTTGGCAATGCAGGAGAGCGGGTGGGAACATGCACAACTCAGGGAGATCTGAGCGAGGTCTATAGTTTGGTGAATCATATTGTGCTGGTGCGAATGTTTGATAATGTACTGCAGTTACTTCCTGCCTCCACCCAGGGATGCCAGAGGAGGGGACTCAGGGCTTTTCTGTGCTATTTTTATGACTTCTTGTCTGTTTATAATTGTTAAAAATAGAAATCCAGCCCCCGTCCCCCCCGTAGTGCAGCAGTTAAGCACTGTACACAGGGAGCCAGCACCCACACGGTCAACCGTGGCACAAATTTTGACGCTAGCACCTTGAAGAACATGCTGGGTGCATGTCCAAAATCCTGACAGGGCGGAGCAATGGAGGAAAAGGATTGAGGTGAGACCATGTCTGTTGGAGATACTTTATCTCTCTCCCTGGGGAGTGTGTGTTCCCTCTGGCAAGAAGGAAGGAAGGAGAAAAGGAAGGAAAGAAATCCAAAAAGCTAATCGAATTTACCAATACCCTATTATTAAATAATTTATTCTCTTATTTATAGACTGTCCCGTATTAAGTTATGATACCTGCTTGGGTGTTTTAGAATTGTAGTGCGACATGTAACTGGGAAAATGGACATCATCTGATACCTGTATATTCACCTCACCTGGGCACATGGTGTGTTCTGTTTATTCAAGTATTTTGTCTTTTAAAAAAACACTTTTGCCAGGAGGCACAAGCACCTTCTGGAGAGACATGGCAGGGAATGGGGGTGGTTGGGGAATGAGAAAGCACTCTCCTGCCTCCATGAGTCACGGCCACGCCGCATTCCCTTCTCCATTTCTCCTTTTCGGATTTTGGGCACACATGCACTCACACACCTAGAGTGTCTTCTGAACCAGGTCCAGAACTGGAGCCATGTATCTGGCCATGTGGGATCCATCCACCTTAATCATCAGGGCACTACCTGGTCCAACACATTTTATATTTCAATACGAGTGTGGTTCTCCTCAGGTTATGCTTAGATCCTCCTAGGGTTTTTGTTGTTACTCTGGGTGGATCTTTTTTTCTACTTATAGTCTTTAACCAGCTTCCAATGGTACGTGTCACTGAATACAATCCCCGCACCCTTTCAAATACATGAAATTCTTTTTACGGGGGAAAATGCTTTTCATTCTGCCATTAGAGGCAATGTTTAACAGGCTTCTTCGTTCCTTGAGACTGACTTTCAGGAAAGGGTATGGTCAGGTATTTACTCTGTAATGTGAATTTCAGTAGCTGCATTCTCCATCCCAGTGGCTGTAGGGGGTGTTTTTGATAAAGACATATGCAGATGTGTTCTCGAATTTTAATGCTTACTGTATTCTCTTTCTTCTAAAAAAATTGTTTATTTTATTTTATTTATTATTATTTCTGAGACTCGACCCACAGTCAGCCATGTAGGAGTCCATGCACTGACACCATGTCAGCTGCTGGCCCTTTGCTGTATCTTACATTCTATGTCTTTGAAAATTTCAGAAGTGCTGTGTAGCTAGAGGGAGCACATACGCGGGGCTCAGGGTGTCTTTGCCTGACCAGGCTGCAAGAACAAACTGGAGTGTCCATCCAGAGAGTGAGCTGGGCTAGTGTGGACGTGTTTCTCCACTTTGCCCTTTGGGCCTGGAGACCTGGGTGGGCATTGAGGGTGTTAAGGCCTTGAGCTGGGTGAGCCCCAAATTTGGAAACACTCAGCCATGGAAAATGTACTGTTCATCCCTGCCCAGGTCAGTCCTATGAAATCCGACTGCTGGAGAATCGGAAGCTGGGAGACTTCCAGGATCTGAGTACAAAATATGTCAAGGTGAGCCCCTCAGGGCTGCTCTCGTCAGGGCATCGCTGGGGGAGGTTGGGGTGTAGGCACCTGGGCTTGTTGGCAGGAGTGCGGGCTTTGGCGGGCTAGGTGGGGTTCACCTCAGCTCTGTGAGGTGAGTTACAGCCCCTTCCGTTCTCTGGAGCATGGTGCCTTAGTGGGGCCAGGACAAGCTGCAGCACAGAGAGCCCGAGTGTCTCCCCTGATGCAGTGGGCTCTGGGGCCAGGCACAGAGTCGAGCCAGCTTCACCTCGTACTAACGTTTTCTGAGCTTCAGTTTATTTATCCGCACAGCAGGGCCTGCACATTTTGACTTGTGTGTAAAGCACTTAGCAATCCTGGGAAGATGGTAGTCCTCCTGGTTCCCTAGTGTTACTGGATTCTGAGGAGGAGGGAGGAGTACGTGGGGCTCCGGAGCTGGAAGACAACTCTAAGAGGAGGCCTTAACGTGTGGGGAGGGAGGCAGGCTCCTGTTGGGCTCCCTTAGGTCCCCACACTCACACCTCTGTCCTTCCCACCCAGAGCATCATCCGTGTGGTTTTCCATGACCGCCGGCTGCAGTACACGGAGCACCAGCAGCTGGAGGGCTGGAGGTGGAGCCGGCCCGGGGACCGCATCCTGGACATTGGTGAGTCCCTCGGGTGTGCACAGGCCTTGCTCAGGTTCTTCTTGGGTACCATCTGGACCCATGCCTACAGGGCATGGTGGTACCCTATGTAAAAGCCTGTGGGAGCTTTCAGAGGTGGTCCTGCCCCGCCTGCTCTGAGGGTGTTCCCCGTTTTGGTGGAATTCAGAGATGAACTGCCAGGGAGTTGAGGGAAGACTTTGCAGAAGGATAGATAGTGCCTTCAGGATTCTACTAAGCGATGAAGGGAAGGTGAGCATCATACAGGAAGATGGCACCGGAAATGGAATTGAGGCCCAGGTACCAGCCAGTCATTTTTCACAGCCCTTGGGGAACTGAGAAGCCAGAACACAGAATGACAGGGTGTGTGCACGTACCCATAGCAGCAGAGGACTCCTGTGCAGGCAGCCTGGCACAATCATATTTCTGCAGGAAGACAGGATGATGGTTCATTCAAAATGGGATAGAGACTAAGCCAAAGGAGTTAGCAAAACTTAGCTGTCCAGATTTCTGGCATTTCCCATTGTGGAGAAGGAATTTAGACCTGTGCTGAGGGTCTTTC